AAAAAAAAAAAAAAAACCAAAACAAAACAAAAAAAGACAATGGGAAAAAGCAACTAAATCTAAAGAAACAAAAGTAAGGAAAGATTAGGACAAAAATTCATAAAATAAAGAATTTTAAAAAACAGAAAAATCAATAAATGTGTTATGGTTGGATGGGATTTGAATGTGTTTCTCAGCGGTTCATACCTGAAGTCTGGCTCCCAATGTGGCAGTGCTGAGGCAGTGTAATCTTTAAGAGATTAAGCCTCATGGGAAGGAACTAGGTCATGGGGGTGCCAGATGTTACACACATCAATTCCATTAACTGATACTGGCTTTTTCAGGAACTCTGTATCTTCTTGACTCAGCTTTGGTAGTGCTTATGCATCTAGAAATCTATCCATTTCTTCTGTTTCAGTTGGTTTTTTTTTTTTAGCTTTTGTTTTGTTTTGTTTTGAGACAAACACTGTGATGCAATCAGAAGGGCCTTCGCCCAGCCAAGCAGATGCTCACGCTACGCTCTTAAAATTCCTGAACTGTGAACTAAATAAACTTCTTTTGCTTATTGTAAGTACCCTGGCTCAGGTATTCTGCCATACAACACAAAACAGACTATCAACACTTAAGGCCAGTTATTTGGAGATCAATAAAGCTGGTATTTTTACTTAGGCTGAAATGAGAGAGAAGAGAAAGGGGAGAAGGGAGGAGAGGGGACAAGACAGGAGGAGACAAGAGGACTCAAATGAGCACAATCAGAAATCAAACAGGGCTGGGCAAGGTAGCAGCACATAGAGTGGCGAGGCGGGCGGCTGTGCTGAGGCAGGAGGATAGCCAGACGGAGGGCCCCTGAGCTACAGACTGAGACCCTGTCTCAAAAGCCAAACAGGGCAGGGATATAGCTCGACAGTGTAAGCACCTGCCTGGCAAGTGCAAGGTCCTGTGTTCAATCCCTGGTACAGGTGTGTGTGGGCAGTGGCGGTGGTAGAAGAGAATAAACAAAGTCAAAATCCAAAATAAGGGACAGGGCCAGCCAGATAGCTCAGTTGATTAAAGCACCTGCTTAGGCAGAGTGCAGTGGCTGGGGTTCGATCCCCGCCTTAGGAGTAGCTGAAACTGTGACTGAGACTGGGTGTGGTGGCATGCACCTATAATCTCAGTGCTTGGGAGGCTGAAGACAGGAGGATCGCTATGAGTACAATCTGTGTAGTGAGACCCTGTAGACCTGTACTAAATACATTTAAAAAAAAAAGAAAAAAAAGGGACAAGTTCCAAATTCCCAGCCCCTGACTGAAATTTTTGTAATAGATTATAAAGGATATAAAAACTGTATGGCAATAAATGAAATAACTTTGATGAAATTGAAAAATTCTAGAAAGGCCCAGACTACCAAAACTGAATCAAGAAGAAATAACCAATCTGAATAGACTTATGACAAGTAAAGAAATCGATTGGCAATAAAACAAAACTTCTCCAAGAAGAGTGATAATAGTACCAAGTCCTACAAGCAAGCACTGCCATCTCCGACAACTGATCTGACAAGAAAAACAGCTACTAAAGTAAGTACCAGCAGGCGGTTTTCAGTGCCAACATGCTAGAGCCAGAACTGCTTCTCTTCCTGCACAGACCAGAGCAAGAGTCCATTACATGAGAGAATACAATTTTAACATGATGAACCATTTATTTCTATATTTCCATCTAATATCCTAATATCACTGTTGGCTGTTGTTCTGGGGATTGAATTCAGGCCCTTGCGCTTGCCAGGCAGGTGTGTATGCCACTGAGCTGTCTCCCCCGCCCCTTAAGATCACTGTTGGTCATGCGTAACTACAGCTGTAAAAAGTAAAACTGTAGTAAGAGTGGATGACGGTATCATGAAATGGTAACCACAGGAAAGCGCGAGTAGCCATATCCTAATACTAGACACAAAAAGACTGTGAACAATGATCTAGTAATTCTAGATACACAGAAGCAAAGCATCTGGCTGAAACTACTATTATTATTCAAATAAATAAAAGAAATTTAAAAGAATGTAAACATCTGGAAGTCACTAATAAATCAGGAGCCTAAATTATCAAGGCTCCTAATTTTCTCTTGTTGTTCCACATACTGTCAGATAAAATGTACTTTCCCTCTCTTGAGAATGCAATTAGGGGCTGGGGAGGTGGCTCAGTGGAATAAGCACTTCCCTGGCAAGCACAAGAGCCCGAGTTCAATCCCTGGTTCCGCAAAAAAAAAAAAAAAAAAAAGAGAGAGAGAGAGTGCAATTAATTGGGGTCTCATGATTTAGTTTTTAAAGTTTTCAACATTTTTTCACACAAAATTTTGCCCTCACTTCGTAAGATAAATACTTCATGAGATTACAGTGATTTAGGAATAGTACTTACTATTCCTAAATCACTGTAATCTCATGAAT